ACTGGTCTGAATCTTTATCTACAACTTCTGTAAGGTGAAGTCAAATAGATCAAGTCAAAAAGGATACAATTCAAGTTTTGCAAAAGAACATTAAAATGTTAAAGAAACGTGAGCTAAAGGTACCCTAGCATTTTCTAGGGTACTTCCTCTATAGCATCAACCTTTACTCCTAATATACATAATCTTGTGTTTACCACTATAATCTAACAGAATAAAAGCAGTTCATGTGTACGCTGTCCTGGGACTGCAGAAACCTGCTTTCGCACAGATTAATTAGCATGCCTTTTGTTATTCATCCTAGATGAGAAAGTGATGGCAGACGATGAATTTACATGTGACCTCTTCCGCTTCCTTCAACTTCTTTGTGAGGGCCACAATAATGGTAAGTCATGGCTGTACTAAATAAAACAAGTCTATTCACCAAACACCACGGCTGTATTTAGTGATCTTCCATGAGGCAGAGTGATGCCACCTTGTTTTTAGACTTTCTGCATTAAGTTTTGTATTTCATAAATGAAATTTTCAGCATACTTGGAGTCATTATCCGTGTGCATTGTGAAGCACGGTCAGGATTGCTTTCGGCTGAATATGAGTGGGGAATATAGAATAGAATGGAATAGAATAAACCTTTATTATCCCATGGAGGAGACATTTCGGTGTTACAGAGCTCTTACAGCAAGGAAAAATAAAATATAAAAGGAAGACACAAGGTGAACATTGAACGGAGATAGCTATAAAATGGACAGGGATATGTATCAAATCTACAGAGTTATATATAAAATGTACAGTAAACAAACAAGCTGGTGAGTAAGATGACCAACAGGATGTTAAGCTGCATTATAGTCTGACAGCTGCTGGTAAGAATGACCTGCGGTAGCGCTCCTTCCTACACTGTGGGTGTAAAAGTCTACTGCTGAACGAGCTGCTCAGTGCTCGTACAGTCTCACGCAGGGGGTGGGAGGTGTTGTCCATGATGGATGTTAGCTTAGACTCTCCTCCCCAACCTGCTCAATGGACTTCAGGGGACAGTCCAGGACAGAGCTGGCCGTCCTGACCAGTTTGTTGAGTTTCCCCCTGTCTCTCTCTCCATATATATGTGTCAAAGATTGGTTAGAAGTTGTGAAGCAGTTTTTATTAACCACTGATATAATTGTTTCATTGTGCACTTTTTCATTCATTCTTTTTAAGAGTGATTTGGACACTCCTAAAGTTTTTTTAACATGAGTCACAGTTCCTGTGCATTCTCCCCGCATTGTTCTCCCTGTATCTCTGGTTCATGTCTCAAGGTTTCAGGTTTGTTTTTGCTTAGCTTTTCCCAGTTTAGGTTACTCTTAAGTTTTGGTTTTCGTCCACCTCGTCCCTGTTTGTTTCACCCTTTTGTTAATAAAGCTCACTCACAACTAAGCAGTCTGCATCTTGGGTCCGTTAATAATTCACACAGAGCCTGTAGACTCCTGGTGGAGCATAGGGCCACAACAACACCACGCCAACGGACTCTATTTTGGGCTGTTCTCTTCAGCTGGGTCCACATCATTCTGGCGGACTTTATTTTGCTCTAGACAGATCTTCTTCACGTCTGTTTGGGTCTCCCCACGGGACACTGTATATAGAACTGTAATTCCTAAACAGTTAATGCTAAATTTTTATAAAACTTCTTGAATTAAAGCTGAAAGTCAGCACTTGATGCACCTGGTGCATTATCGTCTGTCTGAATTTTTAAAAGTAGACTTCTTTAATTTTGGCAATTCAGTTAATTTTCTTTTCCTTTTATCCTCAGATTTTCAGAACTACTTAAGGACTCAGACAGGCAGCACAACTACTATAAATGTCATCATCTGCACTGTGGACTACCTTCTTCGACTCCAGGTCAGTCAGATATACAGTACTTTCCCTGATTTTGGTAAGACTGAGGATTAAGCACCTTATATACAATAAAGCTTTTGAAAGGTTTCTTATTAATGACTTCTGGGAGCTCAAAAAGAGTCTTAATATGAGTCCAGTATATCATAAAAATTAGATATTACAGTTAGCTTCTGATATTTTTAAGTTTTTTGAGAGTTAAATAAGTCATCCAGAACCCTTGCTAACGTCATGTTCTTCCTCCTGTTCCTGCATGCAGGAGTCCATTAGTGACTTTTACTGGTACTACTCAGGAAAAGACATAATTGATGAGCCTGGCAAGAGGAATTTCTCCAAAGCAATGACTGTGGCCAAGCAGGTCTTCAACAGCCTGACTGAGTACATCCAGGTAAAAATCTTGCTGCATGAATGATAAGAAATCTTAGTGGAAGATAAGATTTCTAGGGGATATTCCAAATATGGGTCTACTCCCACAGCCCTCCAGACAGTGTTTAAGTGGAGAACTCCTTCAGATCTAAACTTTGTACATTACAGAGTAAATTGACTTTTTAGAAGAAATTCTACAGGTTTTGTATTCCTGCTTAGGATATGCATTTTTCAAAACACAGTTTTGTTCCCAAAATCAGACTTTTTAGAATTTTTGAAATATTTTGTTTGGTTACAAAGAAAAAAATATGTCTTCCAAATTTGTAAGCGCACATGAATATTATCTTTATTTGCCGATGTGTGTGTTAACTTTCAGGGTCCCTGTACTGGGAACCAACAATCTCTGGCCCACAGCAGATTGTGGGACGCTGTTGTGGGCTTTCTACATGTCTTTGCTCACATGATGATGAAACTTGCTCAGGTAAGGAACATGCCATTGAAGTCATTAATTTTCAATCTTTTTCTTTTTTAGTTTTTATTTCCCGGTGTCAGGAATAATTTCCATTTAGAATCCACCCCCCAAACTATTTTCTATAATAATCTAAACGTACTTGTTTATAAAAATAGTTGTCGATTTGTCTGTTTTGTTATGCTAATTATATAAACTGTCTCTCTCATGGTTCCTACAGAGAAAAGTATGTATTTGTTTGATTACTCTCAGGTTTAACTTTAGAAAAAATCTTAACCGTTTCCTCCCTTTTTAGTCATATTGTTTCTGCCACTTTGATGAGTCTTTTGATATTTAACTGTCTGATAAATATCAAAGGATATTTAAACCTTGCAAATTTTGTCCCTGGTAAAGTAATCCGTCTATATATTAGGTCTAACTGTCTTTACGTTTTAGTTAGATTGTAACCAAATTTAAATTAGAAATGCAAGATCATCTTCCTTCATGCATACAGTGTTTGTCTTGTACCTACACGTTTATTAGCTATGTTCATCGATTCAACAACTTTGTTTGACATTTTAGATTTCCACCCAGAGAAATATGAAAACATTTTCAGAGTTGCAGAAATGATGGCTACTACATTAGCAAAGCTAATTATTCTCACTCAGTCTAATGTGGAATTAGAATTCCCCGAATAATATGAACTTCATTAAAGTTGGCAGAAACAACTTGAAAAAAATATACACTTATTCCTTTCTATTACTTCTATTTTCCTACTTTACATTTTTGTATGATAAAGTTAAACTACCAGTGCTATTTGATTGTGCTTTGGGTGTTTGCTTTCAATAACACGTGTCTACTGTCATTCATTTGTTTTGGTTTATAAGAAGCTGCAGTGTTTACTAACCTAATTTTGTGTGGCTGTTTTATTGCTACTGACACCACTGATTAAAAGGCATTTTTTATGTCATATGACTCTCCTGAAAATTACTTCTGTACAAGTACTTTGTTTAGGCAGGTTTAGATAAAACAAAACACATACATTAAAAAAAGTTTTGTTCGGAAGTTCTATGCCAAAAAAAACTTCCAGAACAATATATGCTGTCTTGGTTATTGAAATGGAGGCTGTTGCCTTACAAAACATTAGATAGTATTCATGCTGAGACAATCCAAAAACAAAGTAAAAATGTTAATGTAAAATAGTTTTATTTTCATGTGTAACTCTGTTAGATGCACCCCGATCCTGGACAGCGAAACGGCGTAAGAATCTGTGTTTTCACACCGAATCCATCTCATTTAAAGCCCCTCATGCTTTTTTAAAGCCCTCATGCTTAATACTTTCTTTAATAAGTTGCTTAATAGCCTGCACCATCTACATGTGCCTCTTTGTGTATTTTCTCTGCAGCACTTCATATTTTGTCTTTGCGTTTATTGTAATGATATAGATTTTAGGTCTCAACTGTTAAAGAAGCCAAAGTTACAGTTATTCACTTAGTTGTGCTAGAATTAGACCTCGATGATTATTACACACCAAACTGTAATTACACTTTTGTAAGTTAAGTGTCTCCGGATGTATTGTGATTGAATTAATTATTTCTTCTTTGAGGGATTCATTTCACTTTACTCCTTAAAGCCTTAACGTGTTGTATTGTCTCTCTTCATTTAGCTGTTTCATTTGCTGTAGATGATAAGCTGTTTAAAACGGTACAACTCTGATTTCGCAAGCAGTTTTTGCTGGCTTGCATGACATCCTTTTCCTCTAGATCTCCACCAGCCTGACAGCCACTATGACCTATGATAAACATTTGAAGTTTGTCATATCAGCTGGTGCAGGCCTTCAGGAGTGATAAGATTAGCGTCTGCAAATATGGCTGTCTTCCATCCTGCAGTCTCTTTTTCAAATTAAGGCTGTTAGAAGAGCCATTTTCTTCCTTCCCCTTTCCTGTGTTTCTGTCTCACGTCCTATCACATTCAGTGTACAATTTATTATATAAAAATGCATATTCTTTATTCAAAAATGCACCCCAAGGATCATTTTTGGAGTAGATCACACTCTGAGGTAGTGCCTTTCACTTACGTTTAAAAAAAAAGAAGCAAATTATATTCAGTTTAAACTGTAATGTATACAAAAAATGGCTTTTTTTTAGTCAATACCCTTTAAAAAGCTTGTCTCTCCGCTGTGTCTTTGCGTTCTGGTATATACGTTTTGGCTCCATCGAAGGACTCCAGTCAAATTGGTCTCTTGAAGGAGCTTTTAGATCTGCAGAAGGACATGGTAGTGATGCTTCTGTCACTGCTTGAAGGTAAGCTACTCCTCACTATCAGATCATGTCTGCTTCTTTCTGTCAGATACATTCTATTGTCCTTATCTCATCTCTGCTTGTACTGCTATCAGGCAATGTGGTGAATGGTACCATTGCCAGGCAAATGGTTGACATGTTGGTGGAGTCCTCCAGCAATGTGGAGATGATCCTTAAGTTCTTCGACATGTTCCTCAAGCTCAAGGATATAGTGGCATCTGATGCGTTCCGTGATTATGTGACTGATCCACGTGGTCTTATTTCAAAGAAGGACTTCTCCAAGGCCATGGACAGTCAGAAGCAATACTCTCCGTCTGAAATCCAGTTCCTCCTCTCGTGCTCAGAGGCTGATGAGAATGAAATGATCAACTTTGAGGAGTTTGCTGATCGTTTCCAGGAGCCAGCAAAAGACATCGGTTTCAATATTGCTGTTCTGCTCACAAACCTGTCAGAGCATGTACCCCATGACACTCGCCTTCAGAACTTCCTGGAACAAGCAGAGAGCGTGCTCAACTATTTCCGCCCTTTCCTTGGCCGTATCGAGATCATGGGGGCCAGCAGGAAAATCGAACGCATTTACTTTGAAATCAGTGAGGAGAACCGCAATCAGTGGGAGATGCCTCAAGTCAGAGAGTCCAAGCGGCAGTTCATCTTTGATGTGGTCAACGAGGGTGGCGAGAGTGAGAAAATGGAGATGTTTGTGAACTTCTGTGAGGACACCATTTTTGAGATGAACATTGCTGCATCTATCTCTGAGCCAGAGGGAGATGGTGCAGAAGAAGAAGATGATGAAGAAGAAGAGGAAGGTGGAGGAGATGAAGGAGAGTCTGGAGAAGGAGATGAAGGGAATGGTGAGGGTGAAGCTCCGGAGTCGGCTTCTGCCTTTGCAGAGTTTCTGAAGAGCGTGGTTAACTTCTTTAACATGTTCACCTTCCGTAACCTCCGGCGTCGATATCGCAAACTTCGAAAAATGACGGTAAAGGACATGATTATCGGCCTGGTTACATTCGTCTACACTGTCGTGATGGGCATCCTGATTTTTGTCTATAGTATATGCAAGGGTTTCTTCACACTAATATGGAAGGCACTGTTTGGTGGAGGCTTAGTAGAGGGTGCCAAGAAGATAACAGTAACAGAGATCCTGGCCAGTATGCCTGATCCCACCCAAGATGAAGTTCATGGGGACCTACCGCCTGAACCGGGTGCTAGGGAAGTCCAAGATGCAGATGGAGTGGCAGACCTCATAGATGCCGTGGGTGGAGAGGAGGAAGAAGAGGATGGTGAGGACAGAGAAGGTGGACGGTTGCCTGGCTTTAATACTCCTGGGGGACTTGGAGACATGGGAGAGACAACACCAGAAGAACCTCCGACTCCAGAGGGCACTCCACTGTTGAAGAGGAAACTGGTGGGTTGTTCTCTCTCATAGTTGTTTATTAATGTGTACACTCTTTAGTAACTGGTTAATTAATTGTAAACTAATTAAAACAGCTGGCTGCTGCAGTAGGAGGACAAGGAGATGAAGAAAAGGTTGAACACGAAGAAGAGGCTCCTCAGGAGACCGAGAAAGCAGAGTAAGACGTTTGCCTGTTGTAGTCTGATGTCAAAAATAAGCAGGATCTGCTTAAAATGTGTCCTTGAGATTAAACATAATATATTTTCAATTCACTGAATTCACTATCATGTGTGCAATTATAAACAATTTCCGGATGTTATTGATTAAAAAACAGTTGTAACTCTGCACGGTTTTGTTAGCTGTTCACATACATAGCGTACACCCTTGTAGGTATTGAGTTTTTAATCACATTTTAAACAGTGCCAAAAGTCTAAAGCTATTTTTGTTTTCCCAAGCTTAAATTTCTTTGTGTCTTTCCAAGCACCGAGAATGGTGAGAAAACAGAGAAAGCAGAGAAAGCAGAGAAGGCAGAGCCTGAACCCGAGGTAAAGGAGGAAGAGCCTGAGGAACAAGAAGAGATAAGTGTGAAGACCAAAGTGAAGAAGGACAAGAAATCTGATAAGGAGGGCTTTAAACTGTGGAATGAGCTGGAGGTTCAGAGGATTAAATTCATGGTGAGCAGCTTTTTCTCTCAGCACGGTGTTGAATGTATTTTAACTGCCATGATGAGTACTAGAAAATGAGTCTGATATGTTCAGCTAGTGTATTAGAGATTAGTTTCATACATAGAACATTTTTAAAATGACTCCTAGTATACTTTTGTGATTAGTAACTCATGGAGGACACCTTATCAGCATGTGCATTTATCGGCATTTATCACAGCATTATTGCTAATTTATTCATTTCTTTCCAGAACTACCTTTCTCGCAACTTCTACAATTTACGTTTCTTGGCCCTGTTCATTGCCTTCGCTCTCAATTTCATCCTGCTCTTCTACAAGGTCTGTTTTGACTAAATAATTTGATGTCATGACACCTGGGACGTAGCACTGTGCATTACAAATTCAGTTATTAGAATCTGTTAGTTCTGGAGTCTTACGTGCATAAAAATAAGCATATTCACATTCATACATCAGCACCAACTAATATTTGTGATCGTGTCTTAAATATTTCTTTCAGATTTTTAGTAAAAATATTCTTAGAAGCTTTACCAAGACCCTGAGGACTGCTGTTTTTTATGACCTTTCTAGGTGTCTGACACGCCTCCAGGTGAGGAGGAGTTTGAGGGTTCTGGTCTCTTTGAGGGTTCTGGGATTTTTGAAGGTTCCGGTGCTGAGGAAGACGGATCAGGATTAGATGACGGAGGGGAAGATGATGATGAAGAAGGTCCTTTGTACTACTTTTTGGAAGAGAGCACTGGCTACATGGAACCAGCAATGGCTTTCTTTGGTATTGTTCACACCATCATCTCCTTCCTCTGTATCATTGGCTACAACTGCCTGAAGGTGTGTGAGAGATTTGCTTTTCTTTACTCCAAAAATGTTTTAGGGGTGTGTTTTCATAGGTTTCATGCGGTATATCTTCTGCTCCATCTCCACCTTTGTAAGGTCCCTCTGGTTATCTTCAAAAGAGAGAAAGAACTGGCCAGAAAGCTGGAGTTCGATGGCCTCTATGTCACTGAGCAGCCTGAGGACGATGACATCAAGGGCCAGTGGGACAGACTGGTGCTCAACACTCCGTAAGACCCATGTTTCAGTATCAGATACATTCGTGATACTTTATTACGTAGAACCTGCTAGTACCAGGTTGGTACAACAAGGCACTCTTGCCCAGAGAACTGTCACTCACTGGGTATTTTCTCTTTTTCAAAGCATCCTGTTTAAACACTAGAGATGGTTGTGCAGTAAAATCACAGTATCACTGATAGAAGACAGAGAGCAAGGAGAGATGATGAGCTGATAAAGAGTGAAAGGTGATTGGGCAATGAGAAAATAAGGAAAGAAAAAGAGAACAAACAGGGTTTTAGGTCAGGAAGATATTTATCTGTGCAAAACTGGAAAGGAAATGTGTGAGGCTCCAGAGTTTTAAATAAATAAGATAAACTGAGCACACTGTAGCTAATGTTTGTATCATTGTGCAGAACCTTCCCCAACAATTACTGGGACAAGTTTGTGAAAAGAAAGGTAAGACTTTTTTGTCTTTTTTTGTCAGCCACATTTTTGCAGTTATATATTGAAGTACGACGGTCAACTCAACATCTGTATGTGATGTCCAGGTTCTGGATAAATATGGGGACATTTATGGCAGAGAGAGAATTGCGGAGCTGCTTGGTATGGACTTGGCTTCTCTTGATGTCAGCGCCATGAGCCATGGAAAAAAGCCTGAACCTGACACCTCAATGTTCAGCTGGTAAGCTCACGCATTACATGAATCAATATCATTTACAGAGTTATATTTAAAAAAGGCATAAGGGCAAATGTGTCTGTTGTTGTGCAGGATAACATCTATTGATATCAAATACCAGATCTGGAAGAATGGTGTGGTCTTCACTGATAATGTGAGTAAAAGAAAGTTTTTATGTAATTAAAACATTAAGCGAATCTGCTTTGAATGCGGTCTTCCTGATGCATTTTTTAAATATCTTTTAGACTTTCCTCTACCTGGTTTGGTACATGTTGATGTCTCTGCTTGGGCACTACAACAACTTCTTCTTTGCTGCTCATCTTGTTGACATTGCAATGGGCGTGAAAACCCTGCGCACGATTTTGTCCTCCGTCACCCACAACGGCAAACAGGTTACACTTTTGCTAAAGATACGTAATCGGGCTTTCAGTTGACCTGTTTTGTTTTTTTGATTTTTTACATTAGATCCTTTGTTTTCCTTCCTTTCGCTGCAGCTGGTGATGACAGTGGGTTTGCTGGCCGTGGTGGTGTACCTGTACACTGTGGTGGCCTTTAACTTCTTCCGCAAGTTCTACAACATGAGTGAAGACGAGGATGAGCCGGACATGAAGTGTGATGACATGATGACTGTGAGTGGAGGGCAACCCCCCCACAAAAAACAACAAAGCAAAAAAAGCCCACTTCAGGACACACCCAGCATGATTTTTTGGAGGTCGGCTTTACTATGCTATCTAAACTGACCTCTGACTTTACCTCCTCCTGCAGTGTTACCTGTTCCACATGTACGTTGGTGTGCGAGCTGGCGGTGGCATAGGAGATGAAATTGAGGACCCAGCTGGTGATGAATACGAGCTTTACCGCGTTGTCTTTGACATTACATTCTTCTTCTTCGTTATTGTCATCCTGCTGGCTATCATCCAGGGTAATTTTGTGTTATTTGTGGACGCTTACTGAACCACCGTATCATGACACAGGGCGCTGCAATTTCACTGCAAACTGTATACAAATGGCTGTAAGCATAAGTCTAAACAGAAAATGGCATTTACAGCCAGTTTTAACACTGAAAAATGTAGCATTTAGCTATTTGTGCAGTATCACAAGTGAAGAAGATATTTCTGTTTTACAAAAATTAGAAAAGGGTAAAAAGAGTATTTGTCTGTCTCTCAGGTTTGATCATTGATGCATTTGGAGAGCTGAGAGACCAGCAGGAGCAAGTCAGAGAGGACATGGAGGTAAGGCTTAATTTTAAACAACCTACATCTCTCTTTCAACTACTAGACATGATTTTGTTTATCATAAAGTTTCCTTTCTCCCTTTAGACAAAGTGTTTCATCTGTGGAATAGGGAGTGACTACTTTGATACGACGCCGCACGGCTTTGAGACACACACTTTAGAAGAGCATAACTTAGCCAACTACATGTGAGTGGCATTACAAACGCAGATGTGACTTTCACGCCATTAAACATAATACTCTGTTATTTAAAACAGAAAATCAGCAGATATTTGTGCTAATTGTATTAATCTGAAAATCATGTTTAACCCCTTAATGCTAATGATTTTGACTTCTGTCAAGTCTAATTTGTGTTTCTGTTTCAGGTTCTTCTTGATGTATTTAATCAATAAAGATGAAACAGAACACACAGGACAGGTGAGTAAATATAGGGATTGATTTGAGACAAATATTGATGTTTCAAAAACAAAGGTGCAGGCCTCCTTAGTATTTTTTGGAATTGTTAATTTTGAAAAGTCGGCATTCACCAACGTTGCACCATTTTTCAGGAGTCATATGTGTGGAAGATGTACCAGGAACGATGCTGGGACTTCTTCCCTGCTGGAGACTGCTTCAGGAAGCAGTATGAGGACCAGCTTGGATAAAGTCATGCATCTTTACTCTGCATCCAATGGAGAAAGAGAGGAGAGAGAAGATATGAAATTTTAAGATCAAACATATCTATGTCTTAGTTTTGTCCTTTGCCTGCACAGTTCTCTCCTCTGTTAAAGCTATGCACACTTTGACTGCACTGTTGTACCACCTGCAGCAGAATGTTGTTGGAGCTTATTTAAGAAAGGGAGAGTAATAACCGTGAGGCATAAGAAGATACAAGAAGCCAGGGGCCTTTTTATTCTGCTATGACTACACTACATGGCCTTTTTGTGAAATATACATAGTTTGCCTTGCATATCAGTTGTGTCTTTTCAAATGGGGCTCTTTCGTCGCTACTGCTGTAAACGTTTTAGTGCCTATAGCAAAGCCACTGCTTCAGCAATCTCGTTTAGATTTTCAGTTTCAACACTTTTCTTTGAGATATTTTATTTATATTATTTGTAAAATTAGGATTTTTTTTTTTGTACATGGCTGCTGCTGACTGGTATTACATGTCTGATTGTTGGTGTTTCTGCAATAAAAGCAGCTCGCAGTCATTTTTCTGAGATCCTTGAGAGGGCAGTAAAGATATTTGGCCGCCTCTCACTCTTTTTTCTCTCAAAGCTTGTCTTCGGAGAAGCAATCGTGAATAGAAACTTCTGAACTGACTTGCCAAAATAAAAAAACACACTGACATCAGTACATGGCATGTACCGGTGTGAATCAGCTGTACAGACGAACCTACTTGGCACTCTTAAGTCTTACAATGCATCCCTGAATGTATGTGGTGCCCAATCTCTGCTGGTGTTTCCGTGCCATATAAGATATCGATGATGTACACACACATACACTATAAGAGGATGCCAAGGTTATTTATTCTTTATATGCAGATCAGATCTTCTGAAGACGACCGTTTTAGCCCGTCTGTATTTCTGGCCAACAGTCTGTTTTATGACATTTTATGCACAAATAAGTTTTTGTCAGTGCATTAAAATAAGTAATGAATGTATCTAACGTATACACTTTGGCCAAAGCGTCATCTGTATAACTGAGGAATGACTAGGCTGCCTGGACGCTTTTTGATGAAAAGACATATTTTACTTAAACCATAGATACATATATTTATTTTTATTTGGGGCTTTGAGGGATTTAAATGACCCTTGCTACTTTGTTGGACACGTGTGTCCTGTTTGTGACATCCTCAGTGGTGAAGAGAAATGGTCTTACACAGGTTATATGCCCAGTTTGCAGTCAGAAGAGAAAGTTAGCTTTTGTTTTTGCTAGTTAGGTTTTTATGATCAGTATTTTTAGGAATTCAACATATGAATTATTTTCTCAATTTAAAAAAGTCATGTGTGATGCATTGATCTCAGACCGTTCTGTCTCACTATGCCTCCTCCTGAACACATAAAAACTCATTTACTCTCCATCTTGTATTTAATGTTATTATATGTCAAATACAGAGCAGTATTTTGGTTGCTGATGACTCTGAAGTGTGCATTTGCCGCTGTAGCCCTATCAGAAGCAGTTGATGTTATGGAACTGAATAGAGATCACTACTTTCCACTTGACTGAGTGTCCTCTGACTGAACCCTGTGTTTCAATACAGAATAAACAGACTATTTTAAGGAGAACGTGAAGATGTCTCCTTATTTCCGTGCAAGCTTCTGTGTGTTTCTGGATGTACATCTCCCCAGATTTGTTCTTCATGTTACCTTGTATTTAGAAGTTACAAATTCCATTCATGTTTGGTCTCACAAGGTTGTTCTCCAGTAAAATGAGCCAGGCAGTCTTCATGCATTTCATTTGGGCGATAACACTAATTTTCATTTTTGCAATTACACATTGAAGTGGCAAAAGCTAGAGTTTACATTTTATTAGATGAAAGATTTTATAGGTTTGATGGTGTCTTTAAAAACTTTAACTTAACCAAATATGAAAAGTCCTTAGTTAAGCAGGACACACCCATGTATTACTGTGACAGTTTTGTTCTCTGAATGAATTTGTGTGGGTCTACATTCAACCACACAACCATTCAGTGTGTTTACTTTACAAAGCACTTGCTGGATTAAGCTAACGCCTCCATGTAGTATGTATGTATGCGTACATTTATGAGGTTACCTGAGTGGGAGATAAGGATTACTTGTGCTTCTGTTTGGCTTTAGCAGATAGCCTTGTTTGGATATTTAATGAATCATACTTAGAGTACACACCTCTACGGTTCTGTTTTATGATATCAGGTTTCTGTGTGTACCAGAGGTAATTTATTCATACATACAGCTCTATTTCAAAAGAATTCTGTTGCACACAAACTACAAAATGCACTATAACAAACATCATTGTACATCATGTATTGAGTATGAATTTAATCAGGTCTACCATAAATAGAATGAGGACCATAGAATGAATCACCACCCTGTAGAATGGATACTCATTGCTTCATCATTTTGGTTTTTCCTTGCACAGCTGCACACAAATGCATTCTAAGTCTTTTTCTTTCAAGTGCCACTCCTCGGCAGGGGCAAAGGTTATTTGCATCACGTTACTCCAAAGTAAATACAGTGATGCAGGGCTGGGTGTGGTACCGTTCTACCCCTCCCTCACTGCTTGTATAAAATAAGGCATCTGGGTGGTATTAGTGTTCGGTGAAGTTCTCCTGTTTTGTTCTGCTCGCCCATCTTACTGACTGCAGCCATGTTTGTTGCTCCTCCTGGCTATCAGCCAATCTATAGCCCGGTAAGTATCTGCACGCACTGATACCCACAAAAATATGTTTTTTTCTATTAGGTCTTAAACAAACGTCATTGTTTTTGTTCTGTTAATAACAATAATATTTGAGCCTGTGGCACTGTGTGAATTTTATGCTGAGAAGATGTAATAAATTGTCCTTAGGTTCTCATAGTACCATTACCATTACAGGATTTTGCAAATGTATTAACTCAAAAGTGCAATCACATACTTTGTTAGAGAATTCAGATAATATCACAATGGAAGGTCGGCCGTTTTTGTAAGGAGAAACCAAAAAAGTGACACCACAAAATGATAGCAAAGACTTAGTATTTTTAGTTGGATCTTCTTTTTAGTTATTCAGTTTTTTCCAGTGGTTCCCAAAGAATGACACGTTTTAAGTGAGGGACATTAATGAAGGCATGAGATTAGGAAAGTTTATAACACTTAGAACAGGAGTAAGTAAACAACGTTCTAATTGTCCATAGTACTGGTCACGGTTCTTAGTAGAAGGATAGACTAAACAATCTGACCCATAAGGAAGTGTAGGTCAGGATATACAGCTAAATTCAATTCATTTGTATTTATATAGTTCTAAATCACGACAGCTGTCGCTTCAAGACCCAGCCAGGCCCTAATAATCAGATAGCCCCCTGTGATCAAGCACTTGGGGAGGAAAAACTCCCTTTTAAGAGGAATAAACCTCCAGCAGAACCAGGCTCGGGCACCCATCCACCATGACTGTTTATGGGTGAGGGGACAAAGACAGGGCAGAACATTAACTGGAAGTGAGTCATAGATTAATAATGACTAACGATAACATTCAAAGTTGTGCATAAACACACAAAGAAAGAAATGCGCAGTGCATTATGGAAAGTCCCCAGCAGAATAGGCCTATTGCACCATAACTAAGGGAGAGTTCAGGGTCACCTGTTTCAGCCCTTTTGTTGAACATGGCTTGTTAATAGATTGATTAATCATATTTAAGACTTGTCCACTGTGGTGTATACTGAGGTAAAAATACAAAAATTATGTATTTTTCCAAAGAATTATGGAAGACAGTGTATATAATACATGGACTGTGTGTGTTTTGCCATGCCCAGTAACAGAGAGAGAGGCCAAACTGAGAGAGTAAGAACTGTTGTGAAATAAGATAAACACTAGACAGATTCACAATGCTGTCCATACTACCCAGGCCTTTGTATAAATATTGAAATGCTGGGCCTCTTTTGGCTTCATTGAAACAAATAATACATTTACAGATTTGGTACAAACCAAATAGAAAAGCCTGATTAATATTTTACATGCATCAAATATTATTGTACATTAAATCCTAATTTGACATTTAACTAGTAACTACACTAATAATATATACAAATATATTATGATAGTTCAAAATAACACTAGAGTACTGTAATTAATCACTGCAAAGTAATTTGTAACTTGATTTAATCATAATATGACTGACATTTGGACATGCAGGGCTATGAAGTGCGTACATTCCACAGTGTTGCTGTGTTACAGTTACTTAATATTTTGTCCCTGGCACAGGACATACCCTATCTAGGGCCTATTAATGGAGGGCTGAGGGAAGGAACATCCATCTATATCCAGGGGACCATTCCCAAGCACATCACCAGGTGAGGGGAAGACATAAACTCGTGACCCTATACACTTTACAGAAAATT